AAAGCAGGAGGAAGCAGCTAGCTTTGATCTGCCCACGGATACAAATATACCTACAGTAACTGCACCTCTAAAAAAGTGTTAATTGGTGAGCTTAAAAGGTGTCGAAATTTGTTAGTACTGGATAAACAAGCTGTTTCGACTTTGTGAGTCATATCAGTCTGCTTGCAATTAAACGAGCGAGAACATTTCTCAAAATGTCAAAGTGCCACATGCGAGTGCAGCATCCCAAAAAATGTGCTGCACATGTGGTGGCATAATCCCTGAAAAAAGCCTGAAATAAGCGTCATCTGCTTGTTTCCAGTTTACATCTGCAACACATTTATTGTGATAACTTTGGATTTACCGTTTGTTATTTATGATGTTTGAAGTTTGGAAATCTCACACCAGCCGAAATAGGATTTAAAGACTGCATCGCTTCACGCCAGACCACCTCCACGGGCCAGTATATTCCACCAATTATGTCCGCTGAAAACGACACTTCATCGCCCAGATACCTAAATCAAATTTGCAGGAGGCTGGGAAAAGTTGTGAAGGATACAACTGTGATATCAAGCTACCATAATAATGTCATGTCGTGAAATATTTCTATGCGGCTGGCCAATGCAAGCGTTATTAAAGTGAGAATCTGCTGCGTGACACTGTCTCTGATGCCTCTTATCCCTTTATCTTTAGTGGCTGGTGCTGCTGGTGGTGGTGTGCAAGTTCTGGGCTTTGGTCCGATGTGTGCCACGCTTTGTTGCCTGGAAACCCCCTCACGCAGCTCAGACTGGGGTCAGCGGCTGCTAAGCGGTGTGTTTTTTTTTTCTTTTTTTTAATCTCCGCAGCCAGTCATCGCTTTGTCAAGCCCGTGACTCTGGGCCAGTACAGCTGGGTCTCGCCACTACATCGGGTTCAGCCCAGGTACCAGACTGGGTGAGGAAGCCAGTTCTCACCCTTTACAGTGCAAACACACTTCACCATCAGTGCTTTGAAAGTGGGTTTTTTTTTTTTTTCAGATAAGGACTTTTCAAAAGGCGAGGAAGCCTGATCGTATGTGAGCATTTATCTCTTTCTCGCGCATCTTCAAATGGACCGTTCTGTCAGCTTCTCGACTGACAATCCGCCGCGAAATGCCTTCATCTGCTGAATTCCTCGATTAATCTGCATGTCAGGGAAGCTTTGACCTCCGCCTGATTGGAGCGGGTTTTTTTGAGAGAACGGCCATCAAACGCCCTAATGAATACGTTTCATAGCAGATAAACTAATATCCTCCTGCCTGCGTATCATCAGCTTGTCAGTGCGTGCCTCTCCTCCCCTCCGCTCTGTCTGTAAACTATGCCGCTCGAACGGAGGGGCCAGAAACACTTACGGGCTTCAGGGTCGGCCTCGGATCCTGCCGGTCTCCTAACGACCTCCTCTGTTATCACGCCACCGCTACTCCTCACACCTGCACTCAAGAATAATATTTACCCCGTCTGTCATCATCGCACTGCGGCTTGTATGTGTCCTGCTGTCTTTGCACGGGACTGTAATGATGAATACCGTTCTCTCAGGCGTCTTATTAGAGAAGGGGAGGCGGACATGCCCTGCCTGTGTGAAAACAGATATTTTCTCAGGAAAAGTGAGAGCAGAGAACTGAATATCAGCCAGAGCCAAAAAATCTCCCTGGTCGCTCATAATATTTCAATTAGGTGCTACTTAAATGCATGTGTGTGTGTGTGTGTGTGTGCATATTTGTTCACTGGTGCAGAAGCCACATACTAGGAGGTGGGAATTGGTTGAATTTGGGTGGCATGCATGTCTCTGGAAGCTATAAGTCTGCTACCCAGTCGCAGAAAGCAAGATATGATTGCTGGCGTTTAGAAAAATAAGAGTTAAGCCATACTCCCCTGAGATTTTAAACATGAGCAGGGAGAAGGAGGCAGCGAGAGAAAGAGAGAGAGATTTTGAGGGACTGAGAGAATCGGGAGAGGCCAATGTTTTCCTTGTCTGTTTTCGAAGTTTGAGGAGGCTGGGGAATCATTTATAATGAGAAAGACAACAACTGGATGATGATTCTTTTTGAGTTTACACCCGTGAGAAGATCAGCGCAGCGGGTTTTTTGGATACAGATGCATTTCCATGCATTTGATCTCTCAATTTTCTGAAATTCGATGCGCCTCTGCTCTTGCAGTGTTTTATAAGGTTTGGTGTCTGAGATTTTGATATGAAAATGCAAAATCAAATAAGCAGCGCTGCACTGTGGCAGCTTCTCAGATAACAACAGGTTAGCCCGGCTCAGTCGGCGCATATCAGACGGTCGCCTGAAAGACTATTTGTTAGTTTATGTTCACTGTAGGTGACCTGGAATTGTTTGACATTTTGAGAAATATGTTGCTCCACTCATATTTTTCCATCTAATATGAAGCTGGAGCCAGCAGCCGGATAGCTTAGCATAAAGACTGGAAACAGCAAGACTGTGGTAAGAATCTGCTTAGCAGCTCTTCTACAGCTCAAGCAGATTTTATGTGGTTCAGGCGGACTCAGGCTGGTCGTTTCTGCATGTTTCCAGTCTTTTCAGTGAGCTGAGCTGCTGATTGTAGCCTCGCATTTGGCATACAGATGTGTGAGCGGTATTGATCGTCGCATTTAACTCTTGGCAAGAAAGCAATCAAGGGAATTTGTTCAGATGTCAATCTGTTCTTTTGACAGATGTAATTTCAATACAAAATCAGCAGTTCTGTGTTTTGATTCTTCTGTTGCTGTTAGTTTATGTATTTGAACTAGTCCAGGTGTGCACTTTCTTATCATGTCACCATCAATCAACTAACACAACACCAACACAAAGAATGAGAAAGATTGCATGTGGTATTTAGTGTGGCGTAAAGTTTGAAGCTTGCATGTCACACAGCTTAAACCTCCATGGATCAGCTCCTCTTTAATCACTTTTCATATTGCTTTGATCAATTACACACTGCATCACACGGTTATTACGATCTAAACCAAGCCCTTCCTTCATGTTGCAATAGTCAACTGCTTGAAGGAAGTGAGTCATGAGGATTACGAGAAAATAGGACTTTGTCATTTGGATTTGCAGAACTTTGCTGACATTGTCAGTTTGGAAACGCGCTTGTTGGAGAAGTAGCATCGAGGCAAACGCTTCACAGTTCACTAGAGCATAATGAATTAGAAGACCATTAACAATGCCTGCTTGTGGCCCCTGCAAAACACAGATTTGGTGTGCTCTTTTTTAGATGCTATTACGCACCAGCACCGGTTTTATAATGTGTGATCGGTCTCATTTCATGAATGTACAGCATGAATGTGATGAGCCAGAGACAGGAAAGTGCTGTTATATATGCAGTCCATTACTGACTTAACAAATTACTTGAACTGCCTTCTCTGTGGTTTTGAATTGCTTTGTGTCCTATGGTATGTCTGCAGCTTGGTTTTTATCTCCATTCAGTCCTGCAGGCTGCAGTAGAGCAAACCAGGACAAACCAACTCTGAACGGATGCTGAAGTTATTATCAAATACGTGCAAAAACCAATCCAGACTTAGTCTGTTTTTCTGCATATTTCATTTAAATTATTCTGTTTAATAACTGCTATTTCCTGTTTTTTATTTATTTATTAATTTATCTGTAGAAAGCGTCACCAGGAAAGAGTTGATATTTAATCCTTTGGACAATGTATGAAAAAGGCAATAACAATTCATTTTGATTTAGAGAGTGATAAATGCACAACTGGAAAAAAAACAAAAAAACAACACCACAGAAGCCACCACTGAGCTGATTTCCTAATTTGCTGTTTATGGCGGTGTGCTGCGATTCCCTGCAGTGTGCAATAGATCTCAATTTGCTAATAAACGCATCTCCTCTCAGCATCCTCAGCATTGTCTTTATTATCACCAAATGTAATGCCCAGTTGTTGCGGTTGGAGGCTGAAAAACTGCTCTGCAGAGCCGCATCTGTTAATGTGCATTTGCTGCCATCTAGTGGCCATAGAGGCAAATGCTTCATCTGGTGTAATGTAATCTCTGTACAATAGGGGTCACTATAAGGTCATTTTCCACATCTCCATGAGTTTTGTTTATTCGCCTTTGAAAGGCCACTTTGGATTAGTGTGGGAACTAAGCTGCTCTGTGTGAAATGACCACTAGATGTCAGTAAATGACAGTTTGCGTTGGCCTTGAAAGCATAAATAGGTGAGATGAGATCAGGGATTTTATTTGCAATCAGTAATCTATCCCTTTCTGCAAACAAAGAAGACACAATTAACACTTTTTGCTGACATAATGGATACTGCCTCCTTTCCCTGTCTGACTCAACCCCGCTGATTTATATGCTTGTCCCTTTACAGATTCCTTTCATCTATGCAGTCAAACACTGACTGGGGTAGTGTTTGGGGATATTTACACTGCCATGCAGATTATAGCCTCAGGGTATGAGGGAAGAAGAAAAAAAAACATCACCAAGACACATTTGCAGAGAGAGAGAGAGACACATGCAAATAAGGTTTGGAGTATTGTTCAAAGGCTTGTGATGAGGTGTTTTACACAGTTGGCTACTCACTCAGATTTTATTCATTGGTCCACTTCCCACAGATTTGGGAGGAGCCTGATTGGAGGTCTGTCAAAGAAGCTTGTAGAAAAAAAAAAAAAAAAATTATCTGCAGAGCATCCAATCACAGTGAGAGAAACTACCCGGATATGCATAACTTAATCCATATCAGAGGCAACAACCTGAGATGTGTTAAAAATAGAGCGTGTTCAGTGTTGATGGGTGCATAGAATATTTTTCTAGGGGCCTACAGAAGGGGCAGGACTACACCTCTCTCTCTTTCTTTCTGCCCTCCACCCTCCTCATCCTTCCATCCATCCCACCCCTCTCAGCTCCCCCATGTCCCCCCTTCTTCCCGGGACAGCTTCGCTCCACCAGTTCCGCACTGTGCCGGCCTGGAGAGGAGTAAGGGAGCGGAAAGAGGAGCCAGAAGAGAGGATTTGCTGAACCGAGGAGGAGAGACAGACGGGGGAGAGGGACCATGGCTGCTCTCTCTGCCTTGCTGAAGACCTGGGTGATACTGCAGACCTTGTGCCTGGCTCTGGCCCAAGTGGTGAGTGGACTGGAGGGGGGGGGAGGTTGAGATCTGCCCGGCTCAGGCTCAGCTCCGTTATTCGGGGGGTTCAGGGGATGAGGGTCCCCACTGAGGGCCCTCTGGATAACTTGAGGTGATGGTGTAGGTTGAAAATACTGAAGCCTGGCGACGCAGATCTCTGTGTGGTGACTACCTGGCTTGAGAGCATGAATGTAATAGAAAAGAAGTGCTTGAGATTCTTTTTTTTCTGTGTTGACGAAACAAAAAATGGACCGTCTTCTGTGGATTATCATCTTTATCGTGTATGGACTCTTAACTGGATTTTTTGAGTACCCAGGCTGCTTTTTTTTGTTTGTTTTTGCTTGTTTTGTTTTGTTTTTTATAAATGAGAGACATTTTTTTCCAGAACTATCTCGGTGCACTGACACACAAACACAAACTTTGTCCACCGAGCGTGAAAGCCCCCTCCGTTCAAACAGACACCTACATGTTACCTCTCTGGACTGGAAGAAAAGTTTTCACCCTCAAGGATTATTGTTTTTTTTTAAACACTTGAAGATTTCAAAGTTGGATTAAGACTTTTATGATGCGATGGACTCACTAAGATGATATTCAAGACGGGGATGGAGAGATAGGGGGTGAGGAGGGGGAGGTGGGGGTAAACAGTGCCAGTCTCATGATGCCTCCTCCCACATTCCTACCCAATTCTTTGTTTTTACCCCTCACATACACCAGTTTTATTGTATTTACTTTGCTCGCCGTGGTTTTGCTATGACACTTAAATACTTTATAATAAAGTCAGTGCATGTTTTGTAATCATTATTATATTTATGGCCTATTTTGTAGCCACAGAGTTTATTTATTCTATATGTGTTTATTGGGGATATCTTTATACCAAGCATGTTTCTTCATCTGTAAAATTGTATATAAATAAAGTGGACATCAAACATTATTTGAAGGAACCTGTAAAAACTAATTCACATGATAGTAATATAACTTTAAGGATTAAAGGGGCCAAATTGTAATGCCAGATTAAGATGTAAAACCAATATGGTGCTATGTTCTACACTATTACTGCTGCTATATAGAGTTTATTTTATTTCAACGCCTTTCAATAATTGTACAACTTTATTTGACATTTTCCTATTTCTGCTTGTTTCAGAGGGGTCCACCTGGACCTCAGGGCCAGCCAGGCTTACCAGGCCCCTCTGGCACTCCTGGGTCAGATGGCATTGATGTGAGTATCCACACAGGTTTGCCCAGCAGGTTTTTCCTACAAAGATCCTCATTGTGCTGGAGAAATACCAATCTCAGAGCTGCTCTGCAGTACTGGAGTCTTACCAGCAGGGAGCACCGCGTATGAAAACACGCTGCCACAAAAGAGCTCTGTTCAGTGCAGAGAGAGGGGTCTTTGAGGAGGGATCCTCAGCTCCGTCCAGAGTTTGGGTCACAGTAATGTGATACACGCCAGTTATTTTAAGGGTTAACAACAGGCAGGTTGTATAAATGTGTTGGAAATGAAGGCGGCTGGGCTGGTGGGGCAGGAAACGGTCTGGTTGTGTGTAGATAACATGCTTGGCTGCTAAATGTGAACAGGTTTTTGAAAATTGGCTTATTTTAAAAAATAAAAAAATAAAAAAAATAAAGCCCAGGATGTTGCAGGAAACTGTGTCACAAGAGTGTTTTTACACACTATACACACTACTTATTAAATCTTCCTGTGTGGATATACTTTACAGTCGACTGAATAGTTGAATATGTGCCTTTCTGCTTACACTTTGACTATAGAAACATTAAGGTTGCAATATGTATTCATGCAGAAGCACCACAAAGACGACACAACCAGCACAACTTTGTCAGTTTTTCATGTCCTGTTCTCAAAAATAATTGACTTAACTTGTACAGCCACCTAAAATTTTTCTATAATAGCACAGTGGCAGGTTGGTAAATGAGTAATGTGATACAGGCATGAACAAAATGAGCAATTCTAATGCACAGGTATAATAGGAGATGTGTCTACCCATGTCATTTGTCCCATTGCCATACTGTTGTTAGCAGAGTTAACATGTCTAATCTGTCTCTCTGCAGGGAGACAAAGGACCTCCAGGCCCCCCTGGCCCACCAGTAAGTTTGTACTTTACTGTTTGTTAAATTTCATATTGCAGCAACTTTAACATGTGATTTAGCTGCACTTCATGCTGTGTGTTTTACTGTAGGGGCTAAAGGGAGAGCCAGGAGAGGCAGGTCCTGATGGTCCACCAGGGGAGAATGGCATTGATGTAAGTAGGCTGACTGTTGTGATGGTGTGTTGTTTGAAATGATAGAAAGAGAAAATGCTTCCCGGAAGAAACATTTTAAAAAGACCTCATGTGAAAAACAAAGAACATCCAAGAGAACAACCTGATGCAAATGGTAGAACTCTCATGTTGCTGAAGGAAATACATTGTGAGCAGCAAAATGTGTCCTCAAATAATCTGTAAGAAAAACGTTTAAAAGGCGCCCTGTACCCTGACCACACACTTGATGCACTGTATTTCAAGAGTTTAGGATAATTTGTTATGCCTTTGTGCTGATTGGAGAGAGTAAATCTATTTCAAACAGCTTTGTCAGAACAATCTCATGTCCACTTATAATACAAGCTTTATCCAAAGCTTTCTGCAGTGTCACATTAGTCTTTGCAATTGAGTTTGCACAGTTGTCATGGCGATAGATGTGTTTGCACGAGAGCTTTGTACATCAGTGTATGTTGTGCTGTTATATAAGAAAAAAATCTATATTTGTGTAACACCTTGAAAGTGTGCCCAATAGGCTTTGAGGTCATATTTTTTCACTTAGCATTTACAATTTTCACACAACATATAACATGGTGTCATCATGCTAAACTCTAAAAATGTGTTTACTGTGATGATCTTTCTTATGAAAAGGCAGGAACCAAGTGTTGTTTTCAGTGCTATCTGATTGTCTTATACCAATATTACACATAAACTACCTAGCTGAATTTCATGAAACTTGTTGGAAAGGAAGAACCCATCACATTTTTGGTGCAGATCTGAATCACTTTCTTTATAGCTGAAAAATACACCAATTGCTTCTGGTGGAGGACTGCGCCCTATGACTTCCCATCTAGTTAACACCTATTGTTGTCCAACCTATTGAAATAACTCCCCTGATGAGACGACTACTTAATGTCTCTAAGCCATTATACCTCGCTGATGACAACAATTAAGTCTCCTTGTATCACAGATAGAGTGAAGATGGAAGTAAAGATTTTCTTTGAGGATTTGCATGATCATTTTTGTGTTGCAGCTTTTCTGAGGGCACTCAGTTCAAATTGCTGTTTCAGCCTTGCTCAGAGGGAAATTAAGTGTCAATGCCAAACAGTCACATGCTAACAGAAGCCACACATACACACACACTAACACACACATGCATTCCTCAGAGGTTTAGCCCGTAATCCGCCCTGGAATCTCAATCTCAGGTTTGTTTCCCCAATTACCGTGTCAACTTCGCTCAGCTGTGTGGTTGACCGTACTGTAAGGTGAATTCAAGTCACGTGTAATCTAATAGTTTCCTTTTTTTGACTGCTTGTGAACTTACCTTCCTGCTTCCATCCCTTTCTGTCTGTCTGCAGGGTTTGATCGGAGCAAAGGGTGATCGAGGTCCTATCGGGAGCCCTGGCCCAAAGGCAAGCGTCTAAACCTTCACCTAAAAAGATTATTAGAACAAACGCACCATTATACTGCTGTTGTGTGGAAAAACAAGGGTCAGTTTTAGAACAAACAAACAAAAAAATATCCCCAGGGCTTATTCCCATTATGTTGTCACAGTGATGTTGAGCAGCACACTAAAACCCTGCTGACAGGAGAATATATAAAATTATTGTTGCTCGCTCTTCATTTCAGCTGTAATGAAATTAGCAAATTTGCTAAATCCACACCCTCAGGATATCTTTCTTTATTCATTTGTGATAATTCTAACCATGATAGTTATTTGGCTGTTTTCTGTTGTATGCAGGGTCAACCAGGTCCAAGTGGTGAGCCCGGACCTCCAGTAAGTCAACTTTTATCAGCTTATTTAGTACACTGGACTGAAACTAATGCAGTCCAACACAGCAGTCCTGCTTAAAAAAAATCCTACCTTCATGAAGATTAATGTGCTGAATGTTTGCACAGTCTTGAAAGAAACAAACCCAAAAAAAACCCCCATGAAAAATTATGGCAAGTTAATACACAAGGTGATATTTATACCGCTACAAGAGGCATGCAGGCAGAGCCAAAAAAGTAATAAGGCGTGTCTCTGAGAACAGAATGAACTTTCATCAGCAATGCTTTTTTTTTCCCCCATAAATGAGAGAAAGCGATCGTATTGGAGGATGTAGTTTGTGGTGCTGTTGAACTGCATCATAGGTGCTTCTGTTATTTATTAGCCTGGTCTCACTGATATAAATGGGGTGGACGAATCTGCAGAAAAAAAATGGCCTCTTCGAGTGATAAATATATAATAAACAATATGTATTATGCATTGCGTTATTGGATTGTTACTCACGTATCAATGCATATGTAGCATTTTAGTGCTGTTTGCTGGTCCTGGTGGAACCATTTTTCAGCAACTATCATACTTTATATGAAGTTAGGTAGGATGGCTGCCCGTGTGAGTGGTCCCTGATGATTAATGGGGGAGCAAAAGAAGAAACAACAAAGTTCTGCTTCAAAAAGCTGTCATAGTTGTTTTTAGCATGTTTCTAAATAATAATTTAACCTTTTGAGGGCTGTTGAGAGGTTAAATCTTTCATAAAACAGCTCGTAATCTTTTAAAATCTGATAAGGGATTGCCACTCAAAATTTCAGGGAACCCCTTTTGTAATCTAGCAATCTATTTACTCCAGTATTTCATTAGCTTATTATGTCTTCCATTATGTCAAATGTGAAGTCAGTATCCATCTGAAATGTCGTGGAAAAGTCATCTGAAGTGGCGAAACAATACAAGCAAATAAAGCACAAGTAGAACTGTACATGCTCATCATCTAAAATTATTTATGATTAATTACATCACGTTATCTCTTAGGGCTGCTATGATACTTAAGAAATTAATTATGACTGAGTGAATTATTCATTGATTAATGCCTAGTCGGTTTTCTAACAAACATATTGTAACCCAGCTGGTCTCATAAGGCAACCTCCTGAGTCCTTTTTTTTTGTAATGCCTGAATGCCTGACCAGCTGCGCCCCCTTTTCCAGTGTACCCAGATGTGGCATATGCTTCCTCCAGCTGATATTGGCCTTATTTTCTACACACGGTCCAATTCCATACAATCATCAAACCCAACCACTGACTCCATGCACACCAGCTATGCATCATCTGCAAGCACTGCCAGCTACCACTAGGTGGTGCTCAGCGTCCATCTTTTGCACATCCTCCAATATTTTTAAGCAGACAGTCATCCAATGTCATGCTTGAACGCAACACTATTAGTTAATCCTTTATTTAGCATTAACAGGCGTCCAGTCCGGGGGCTGAGCTTGTACACCCGGCTGTCTTGCGCTGCACAGGCAGGAGATCATGCCCTGTAGGCTGTTCTCTCTCCAAGACGGCTTACTTACTTAATTACTTTGTTTATAATTAATTCCAAGCACAAGACACAGCAAACACAAACTGATTGTGTTGTGTGCCTTTGTTCCTGAGCACTATTTAACCTGCGATGACACTGTACACATGCATTACTGAATTACTGCATTTGGTATTAATTGGCTTTCTCAAACATTAATTGATACTCTGATGGATTGGTTTCACTTGTTATGCAGTAATTGAACCCCCCCATCCTCTTCTCCCTTCTGTCCACACAGGGGTCCGGTCTTCCTGGTCTGGCTGTAAGTAGCTCATTGCCATTATATATTCATGCCTTTATCGCTTCATAACTTTGCTTTGCGGCGTGGAAATAGTTTGTAGAAGCTGGGATATGCACACGTTACGTTGTCTTTTGCATTCATTTACTATGCCACCATCTGTTCAGGGCACTCCGGGGCCAATTGGTCTTCCTGGTGAAATCGGGCCAACTGGATCAAAGGTAGTAACTTCAGTTTATCATACTGCCTTCGTGACCTACAAACACACACATCCACAATCTTTAGATTTACAGCTTCTTATTCAGAGTTTCTTACCTTCTTTGTCTTCATTCAGGGTGCCATGGGACCACCTGGACCTCCAGGGCTTCCTGGACCTCCTGGCAAACCAGTAAGTGTACATCCAGGACTGGTTGGACAGGAAAACTCTTAGCTGTCATCTTTCTCTTGGATTTTTAGCAGAGATGATTTTGGAGTTAAAATGCCTTTGGGAAATCTTAAGATAAAGAAAATGAAAAGGCAGAAAACAGCTGATCCACCTTTTCTAACATTTGTGTATAGCGGATGATCAAAGCATCCTCTGTACATAGAATAAAATACAGGACAACACAAACTATTGACTGCATTTTAACACACTGTGTATGTAATCTTGTTTTTTGTCCACCTTCTCTAAATCCAGTAAGCAGGCACACAACACATTGACGGTTAGCATTAGCAACAAATCCCACTATACCAAGCTCACAACTGGATTTTTGAGTCTGATACTGACTTGATAATGAACCAACAGCAGTTTTTCTTTTTATGTGAACATATGCAATAATAACCATTTTTGATAAGGATCCATTTGATTCTTTTTATTTAAAAGTCGAAAAATTGCACGTCAGTGCTCTCTAATGGACAAACTACGCAACTCATCCCAGTTTCATTCAGCATAAATCGTGATGTGTTGCCTGGATAAAGTCAAACTTAATCCACCAAAAGGGCATCACAGAAATATTTTCAGTCTTTTCAGTAACTGGTGAGATGAGCTATGAAAACTTTAGAAATAAATAAGCTACCAGGAGCTTATTGGGTTTAGTCAAGCTTATACTTCCATCAGTCTAATTGCAGTTGACTTCCTTTCACTGAATGGGTAAAAGTAAAGCACAGAGAATCTGCTAATGCCATGTTGAACGTATGCTCTATTCAGCACACCCAGCAGCAGTTAATGTGCCTTTTTTAATGTACTGTATGGTAACAAAACACCCAGCACAGCCGGAGCTCGCTGCTGCTTGTGCAACTCCCAACAGACACTAAGTGGTGAGGTACCAAAATCAGTTTTGAGAGGTACGCTTTTATGTCTATTTTCCAGTGGTGTATGTAGTCTCCTGTGTGCGTCGCTGAGTGACTCCAAGAAGGGGGTTGGGATGGTGGGATGGTGGTGTCTTCATTGAGAGTGATGTTGCCAGCCCAGGGGAGTGTATTTGTTTAGCTTTAGTGCTGTCCTAGGGTAAATAAACCCCCATTAGATCAGTGGGCTGTCTCATCTGACTGAAGCAGGAATACATCAGCCCCTGTAAAGATACTTTACTTTCTAACGCAATCTATAAACAGAGAGAAGGAAAGATGGGGAGAGAAATAGATGAAGAGAAAAAGAGAGTGCTGGCTCAGCTCAGGGGAGAAGATGCAACTGTCTGCCAACTGTGACCCGGTGACTTTCCTCCCCCCCATATATCTATCTGTCTGTCTAGGGTCCTCCAGGCAAGTTCATTGGTGGAGAGGAGGGCAGCGCAGACTTCCAGGTAAGATCTTAGGACATCTTCTCGCTTGCAAATCTGTTTTGACGCAACGTACTTTTTCATTATTCATGTGCTTCCTTCTCTCTCTACAACAGTGTCCTCTTAACTGTCCAGCAGGACCTAAAGGCCCCCAGGGACTGCAGGGAGTCAAGGTGAGTAGCCTGGTGTGTTTGTTTCAAGGCATCAATGAATATTTTACATTGCAAAATTGTTATGACACCAGCATGACTGATTGTCGCCCTTTAGGGACACAAAGGACGCGCTGGTGTTCTCGGAGAGCCCGGTAGCATAGGAAAACTGGTGAGCGGCACAATCTCTGCACTCAAACACCTATGCATGTACATGTTGTACAGTCTTGCACATCCACCATTCAGGACCAGAAGAGGCAAGGATTAGCTCTAATGAAGCCCCCTGAGGCACATGACTGGCGCTAATCTGGCTGCGATTAGTCAGGCCTGGCCCTGGCCCTGCAGTCAGCATGCAGCAAGCCAGATGAAAGGGGTGGTGAGGAGCCAGGTACATGAATGGGAGGATGAGAGAGTCAGGGTTCACGCAGCCCTCTCACCTCGTTGTATTAAGCACAGCTAATGAGCACACAGTGGCCTCCGAGGGAGCAGCTAGCCGAGCCCCAGGAATTAGCCTCTGATCTTCCCGCACAAGGAGCCGTCTGGCGGCGCTTAGATGCTCAAAACACTCGACGCACTCAGTAACCGCTCCTCCCATGCTGACCAGTATTTTAGAAGGCCTCAAGGTTGCACTGTGGCTCTGCTCTCACTTTTTTTCTTTCTAAAGACAGTCAGCAGGAGCTATTTACCTCTCCACTTGCTGTTTGGAATAAAACACAGACACTACAGACAGAGAAAGTACTTCTTACTTGCTGTATTATTGATCACTAGGTGATGCAAAAGACGAAGAAAGAATGATCACATTCATCTGCATCTAAACTGCTGAAAAATCAAATAAATGGATGACCTAAGGCTTGACTTAATAGACTGAACAGCCTGATGCTAGTGAGAATTGTAAATGAGATCACTAAGGCTGATAAACCTGTAGGATGAGCAAAAATACCGATATTATAGGTGTATGGTGTATATATAACCTAGTGAACCCTTGCTTGCTTGCTAATGCAGAAAGTACAACAGTGGCTTTATACCACTAGGGTTCACGATGGTCTATAGGCAGTAAGCTTTGTTGTAGTTATAAGCTATTTTCTAATCAGTTGGAGTCCTCTCAGAGGACTCTATTTGCAGTAGGTCAACATTTACGTATTACGCATATGTACATTACTCCCAACCAAGAGCACTACTGCCTTGTAGAGTAGTCGATGTTCACACTGTCTGTGTGGAGACAAATTTGGAGCTGCCCTTGGACATCTCTGAAGGCCTCTGCATGGACTGCTTGGACAGATGCCGTGATTTGTTAAACAGAACATACTGCATCTTTTGCTTGCCCATGAACATGGAAAGTATAATGGTACATGTCAACAGAGGCATTTTGGAGGCTAAATTTGCACCACTACCTTGATGATTGTGCAACTAGACTGTGTCATAATAGATGACTGACAGAGGCTCTCCAACAGCAAAACCAATACAGGCCACCCTCCTATAACCATGCAAACACTGAATGCACCTGATTGGATTAACACCTCACTTAATCTGCTCTTGGATTTTAAACTGCACCAATATGGCTGCTTGTTTAGTCACTTTTGCTTACCTTGCGACAGTGATCTCCAATCCTGGTCCTCGAGGGTCACAGTCCTGCATGTTCTAGATGTTTCCCTCTTCCAACACACCTGATTCAAATGATCAGGATCGTTATCAGGCTTCTGCAGAGCTTGATGATGAGCTGATCATTTGAATCAGGTGTGTTGGAAACATCTAAAACATGCAGGACTGTGGCCCTCGAGGACCAGGATTGGAGACCCCTGCCTTAAAACAACAGATCACCAAAAGGTGTTTCTGAAAACATTTGTGGCAAGAACTAAGCCACAGCTGCTGAATCTGTCTGTTGGGTTAAAAGTTTTTTCGGGAGTTTCCAAAGGCAGCGAGTTGCACCTGAATTCTCATAAAGCAGCGTAGACCTCAACTCTATGTGAATGAGCTGTGGGACACATGATGCCCTGTCTCTTGAAATGCAACACACAACTACCAGAATGCATTGCACAGCTGCTTACATAGACATCGGATGGAAAGCATAGAAATGATGGCTCCTGTATACACATGCCATAGCACTATCCGTAACGCTGTCCATCATCTGCTTGGGCACATAATCAAGGCCTACCACTGGATTAAGCCTTTCCTGTGGTGCAAGAAGCAGGAAACATTCAAGCTAGCTTTTTTCTTGCTTACTTTTAAGGGGAGGAAGCAGGAAGTGGCTAGCCTCACAAAAACAAGTTCCATTTTTTCGGGTGTAACAAAAGGTCCTCTAACTGTCCTACTTTCCTCTACTTTCATTCTCTGTGCTGAGCTAAGGTAATTAACATCTGGGCCCAGCTTCTTATTCAACATATACATGCAAAAGTACTATAATGCATCCCATGTAGCTCTACGCAAAAAAGAAGGTCAGATTGTATTTCCCAAAAACTATTCCTTTTGATAATACAGACAATCCGTTATAACCTGAACTGCTTCAAGTACCAAGACGACCTGAGGTTGAATATTTAAGGAGGTTGGGGTAGCTTTTTCTTAAGTCTTCATTAATTTTTGACGAGCTAACTCTAGCTAGCCAATTAGCATCAGCAAGATTTCTATCAAACTTGACTCGGCAAGTAAACAGTACACAAGCATCAAAGGGCAGCTTAGACATCAAAAGCAAACCATCAAGTGGATTTTCTCTCCAGCTCAAAGTTTTCTTCGATCAAACACAAGACAAATAAACCTCCTACAAATTTGGGAACATATTTCCAATGTGCCATGAGCCGCAGGTACAGGAGAGAACCACAGATTGAGAGTTACTAATCAGCTTGCTCTGTTTCTTTTCTTCACCAGGGCACCAAGGGAGAAATAGGCATCTCTGGGGAACAAGGCATCCCAGGACCTCCGGTATACTGAGAATGAAACATTTTGTCACCAGTAGTAATTAGAGAAAAAAGTCAATATCCTGTTGTTTTGGCATATTATAATCTCAAGCTGACATTTGTAGTGATGTGTGCTGTGCTAAGTCAAAGGCCAGTCTGACCTTGTTTTTTTCCTTCCATCTAAGGGTCCAATGGGTCTAAGGGGTTATCCGGGGATGATGGGTCCCAAAGGAGAGGCAGTGAGTAACCCATTTCTTTTATCACATTTCGCTAAGAAGTTTCTTGTCTTTTCTCTCTCTGGGTATGAGGCTGTTCTCATTCTTAGATGAGCGCCGAGGAGGCGCAGCCAGACTTGCCCCCACTATACAAACATCATCCATTACCAGCAACGGGGACATATGGAAATGATGCTAACACAAATCTCTCTCCTCCTCTAATGAGTTGGGGTTGTCTGGGTCCTCGGTGCCTCCATCTGTAGTTAATGATCCGCTGTAGCCATCTGTCTTACTGTTAACATTAGCCGCGTTAGCCAAGTTAGCACCCCGGCTTAGTGCCAAAGCAAGAGTGGCTGGCTCTGTGTAGCTCCCATTAGCAAAGTGAGTTAAGCGCTAATTATCCCTTTATCACAATGAATAGTAGGTTACTGTGACTTAGCATCCTCTCTGATCTAAAGTGATTGATGGCACTTTGTTGTTTCCCCATAGGGCCCTCGTGGTTACAAGGGCATCAACGGACCTGTTGGAATTCCTGGGCCTCCTGTAAGAAAACACACACACACACACATACGCACACCAAGACACAAATACAGACTCATCTACTCAGGTACATGCACAAATCAGGTACATACACAAACCTCAAGTGCTCTAAGTCGCCTTCTGTTTTTGTTTTTTTTTTTGCAGGGTGAGGAGGGACCTCAGGGACCACCTGGAGAGGCAGGAGACAAGGGAGACAAAGTGGGTGACTCTCCTTGGGTTTTCCCTTGAAGTTTATTGTCAAAGCAGTGGCGCATGTAAAAAAAAACAAAACAAAAGGAGATGAAACATTCTTTAGAACCTGAATGGAGACAATGACCCTGATGTGCTTTGTGAATATACTGAGGCTGATTAGGTTATCTTCTGCAGGGCAGTCGAGGTATCCAGGGCCCACAGGGTGCGGTTGGCAAAAAGGGAGAGAATGTGAGTGAACGCACTTTTGTTTGTGCTCTGCACAGTGGCGGAGGTGATCAGAGAGTGTGCCAAATGAAGTCCATTCACTCATCTGCCCGCTTTTTCAGGGTCTGCCGGGTATTGATGGAAAAGATGGCACACCTGGTATTCCTGGAATCAAGGTGAGTGCCAGCCGTGATAATGAGGTATAGTTTCAATCTGAGTAAAAGATGGCAATTTATTCCTCTTCTGCTCTCTTTCATGCAGGGTGGCCCTGGGCAGGCTGGGATGCCTGGTCCTCCTGGTCCTCAGGGAGCAGCAGTGAGTGATCTTTTGGCGTATTGGGGGAGGATGTACGGTTGTCTGAGAGTTGTTCAGCGATGCCACTAAGAACACGCGCAAATAAACTTGTCAGAAATGCTTATTGTCACTCAGAACACGTAGGGGGGGGCAATCTGTTCTCCTCCTCAATTCGACAAAGCCACAACACAGACAGGGGGAAACCAGCGTGAAGCAGCCTGTAAATTTTGATATGTTTGGTTTTCTGGGCAGTCATCCAGGTTAACAGTGACCCTGTGACCCACACTGTTTTAGAATATAAACCACCTTGAAATAGCATTCTCCCTCCCACCGCAAGCGATTTATCACAATCAGGCCAGCGGATATACACAAGTGTGTGTGTGTGCGCATCATTCTGACTAAGGGGTAATGGAGCATGAGATGCACACTTTGCTGTGTGGTCACTGCGGTGACACGAACACTGCTGCAAACTCAAACACCGTAACTTAGCCTGCTTTACACCCAACTGTGATACACACACACACAAAGTCACTGTATGGCTATAGCTGCCATTCAGCCTGTTTCCATTGTTGCTATGATCCTATCAGGCATCACCATTTCGGTACACTAATATCCAGATTTAGTCCCACTTGTATTTTCAGGGATGCTCTGTTTTTAATTTACACTAATTTCAGTCTTGTTGATTCTGTCTATAGGGATTACCTGGCAGCCCAGGAGCAAAGGGGGGAGCTGGAGCTAAGGTATGTCTTTTAGCTGATATTTATTGTTAATTTAAGCATTTTTCTGGTTTTCTTTCAGTGCATACCTTTCTCATATAATCTTCTCCTTCCAGGGAGAACCTGGACCTAGGGGTCATGTTGGCATGCCTGGTGCCTCTGGACCTCTGGTAAACATGTACACAATTATATTTTTTTCCTTTTCAGGTATTACAAGCTCATATTGAGCAGTGGAGTGAAGAATTCTGTATTTTTGTTTTCACTTAGGGTGAGCCTGGTCTTCCTGGTGAGGCTGGTATGGAAGGAGTCCCTGGACCCAAGGTATAAACCCAAAATATTACATTACAACATCAAGAATTACTGCTTTAAACTATGCTTACTCACCTTAAAAGATATCTGCAGGGTGACAGAGGCCAGCGGGGAGCAGTCGGACCACAGGGAGTCGTGGGCAAGCCTGTAAGCCACATTATGTCTTTTTCAAAATACATTTTGAACCAAGTCCAGGATGTACTTTTAACACTATTTATATCATCTCCTAACAGGGAGGCAAAGGAGAAAGAGGGCCCATTGGTGTCCCCGGTGCCCAGGGTCTGAGTGGAACTAAAGGAGACAAGGTCTGCGCATTTGTGTGCCTGAAAAAATACAGATATCATTGTGTCTAAAATGCCGAGTATGCTCACACTTTATCATAATGTAGTTGCACAGATCTGCCCATTGAGGGCAGTGTTTACCCATGAATAAAATCCACAGTAAATCATTGAATGAGGCAAGCAATATAAATGATAATCTAAGTATCTTCATTTTCCTTGTTTTAGAGTTGAGAAAACATCCATCTTACTCTGTGATCTCTGGTATCACTGGCTTCAATCAATATTTAGCTCTTATTTCTGAAACATAATGTATTCTATATTTGACCACATTTGCATGTGCTTTGTCTATCTTTTTTTCTCAGGGCTTCCAAGGAAAAGTCGGGTCAAAAGGAGACTTTGTGAGTAGCGCTTTGGCTCTTTTAAACAGAATTGTCAGAAACTCTGTGTATTTCATCTCCATGCTCCCAAACACCTTCGACAGACAGCCTTCTCTCTCCTTTTCTTCATCTTTTCCTCTCTGTTGCTTTTAGGGTGACCCTGGCGTTGAGGGATTGGCTGGCGAGAAAGGTGAAAAGGTAAAAAAAATAAATAAATAAAAAAATTGCAGCACGACCTAAAGCTGTTTGGAACTTTGTGTTATGAAAAAAACACCAAAGTCTCAGAATATACAAAATAGTCGAACTTTCAGGCTTTAAATAAGAAGGTTTAAACATTTGAAGGCATGAAAGCAGAGTGAGTGATATATAGCAGGAAATGTACCAAAGTTAAAAAGAAGAAGGGGATGTCTGTTTCTGAATTTGCATACAAATCCCCATAATAATCCAGATGGCAAATAAGCTATTTACATGACAGTGAAGCAACGATGCACATTAGCTTTTTGAAGCTGCATTTTTAGACGTTCATTTACAATATTCCTTCTTGAATTATTGCTCAATAAGTGTCTCTGAGGCGCAAATGATCGACGGAAGTGATGAATGTGGAAATGACTGTCTGTCTTTGCTGTGACAGGGTTTGTCTGGCGAACCTGGGCCCAAAGGACAGGTGAGAATTGTGGATGTCTGATGACTGTCGGATTGTTTTACCCCCTTTCATTTGTTCCCTTATGCATCTCTACCAGTTTCATGCCTCTTTTTCTTTTCTTTTTTTTACTCCTCATAACATTCTTTAATCCTCTTCTCTATGCAGCAAGGAATTAGGGGTGACACTGGACACAATGGGCCTACCGGAGACCCTGGTAAACCAGGAGACCTGGGACCATCAGGGCTACCTGGTCCCAGGGGGCTTAATGGAGAGCGAGGAGTACCTGGCATGCCAGGCATTCAGGGATCACCAGTGAGCCCACTTTGCTCTTGATTGCAACATTAATATGCATGGAACATATACGGACTGATGCTGATCGATGCTTCGTCAGCTGCCATCTCTTTGCAATGCTTAGTCTCCTTCTTACACTCTCCAGGGACGTGATGCATCTGACCAGCATATTATCGAAGTGGTGCTGAAGATGTTGCAGGGTGAGTGTCTAGACTTGAATATTCACCCTTGATGTCCATAGGGGAGATTAGATTAGTTAATTTCCCGAAACTACTTTCATCTCCTGAGCAATCAGTTGCCCACCATCAAAGGTCATTTAATCAAAATGATGATGCTGTCTCTTTTGCTGCAGAGAGGCTAGCAGCAGTGGCGGTGAGCGCCAAGAGGGCTGTGCTTGGCGGTGCAGGTGTAATGGGACCTCCTGGGCCTCCCGGACCTCCAGGGGCATCTGGCCCTCAGGGTCCACATGGCTTACCTGGTGCACGTGGCATCCCTGGTATCATTGGAGCACCTGGGCAGATTGGAAACACAGGGCTTAAAGGTAGAACTAAACAGGACGGCGTAGAACGTTTTGCTTATTACCAATAGATGCTGAGAATGTAGCCTCTAAGGATACATACGATGCCTCTTTATCTTTCCGCAGGAAAGAGAGGGGCAAAGGGGGAGAGAGGAGATCCGGGTAAACCTCACCCAGGACCACCAGGACCCCCAGGAATACAAGGTAAGAACTGAAAACTTCTGTGCAGAATTTCTGTGAGGTTTATGCACTTATTTGGAATCAAAACAATCTCAGCAAGTTTCCACTGCCACCTACACCTCAAATTAATTGCAATGACATGGACAACTTTCTGTTTACTTCATTTATTAACTTTAGAAATGTTACGGTCAGTTCACAAGACCTGGCTGTGTCGAATTTCATCTTTGTCATGACTGTTGAAGCATTGTGGCTCTTTTCCAAGGTCCACCATTTGGTGTGTGTTGGGTCTATTTTTTTGCCAGGGTAGCTCTCACCTCAAGAGTAAAACCAAAAGTGAAATGCACTTGGACGTGTAAATAAGTGTCTATAAAATGCCCAGAAAATGATACGAACCACAAACTTTTGACACAATGTAGGCAACAGGCCATTGGAAAAGACATGAATGTACTGATGTCACCACCTAAGAAGGTATAAAAAGAAAACTTGAGGGTTATGTCATGTTTTCAAGAGAGGAAGAAAAAGGTTGGTGGTATGTTGACGTCACAGGATTCACAACATTTAGTGCTTCAACGTCAATGACAAGTGGTTCATTGTTGAACTGGAGAAATAAAGAAAGTTGTTATGTCCCACATACGTCATGATTTATTCACAAAGTCTGTTTGAATTGCCCTTTGTGACATTTTGCTTTTATGCAACCAACTTTTCCACCTCAGCTGAGCGTGAAAGTCTTTTTTTTTGTTGTTTGGGTGATATCTCAACTGTTTCAGTGTTGCTACTCAGGTTTTTTATGGGCCAGTTGAAAATGTGCATTAAAAAACAGGTGGATGGAAACACAGTTACTCACCACAGGTGAAGAAGAGGAAACAACTGAAGGACTTGGCATTACAGCTCTTGCCACAGGAGAGCCTGCTGAAAGGCATTTTAAAGGCATCATTAACTCTAGTCATTTAACAGATGCTCTTGAATGAGAATGTAATAGGATTGCAACAGTACACGCTAATTCGAACACTGTAAGACACACTCACACTCCCCCGTGCACACAGACACACAAATTAAATATATGCATACATACAGTGCACATGTGTAATTGAAGTCATGAATGGAGTTTCCACTGCTGACATGAAATTCAGTGCAGTTTATCATCATGAACCCTGGATATCCCTACGTGATATTGCTTATTCTCAATCTCTAGGTCCTCCTGGTGTTGATGGTGTGGCTCGGGACGGTAGGCCGGGCGAGAGAGGACCTCAGGGATCAGCCGGAGAGGCTGGTCGCCCCGGTAAGGCGGGCTCGCAAGGTCTCCCAGGCTTCTGCGAGGCGGCGATGTGTCTGGCTGCGTCAGCGTACACCTCACCGAGACTACAGGAGGCGGGAACAATCAAAGGACCCAATGTTTAGAGACCTCTTCCCGCAACACCTGGGAGAGGGGGGAGACAAGACAAGGAGAGACCACTCTTCTCAGTCGGATAACATCGAGAGCGAGAGGTGGGGGGGGGGAAGATAATCACGCGGTGACTGGATATGTAGCCCCCCCCTCCTTCCTAGAACTGACAACCTGAAGTTTTTTTACTGGTGGGGCATCATGATCTTAATCCCCCACATCACCATGACAACAGCAGCTCACAGCCACCCACATCCCTCTGAATTCTCTAGTGTTTTTGGATGATGTCAGTGTCAGTCCCATCCAAATATCCCAGCCCAGCTCTAGCAGTGAAAGAGGAACAGATTCATATTGCATCTCCTTGTCTCCCACCAACACAGTATCTGAGCTGACAGGAGCTGAAAACCAAGCGTGATGAAGGGTGCTCCTTTTTTTTTTTTTTTTTTAAATCCGTGATCACTTTAAATGGTTTTATATATGCAATATTTTCTTTGAGAAGTGTTTTAAAGTTGAAATGTCCTGTCTTCTCTTGCGACGTCACACCTTCAAAGTGTACAAAAAAAGGACCAATAAATGATTGCAGCCTAATGTCCACTCAGTGCTGTACTGTATTGTAAAATGTAGTCTTTTCATTTGTAAACTTGAGCGAAATCCCCAATTTACCTCATGTGTACATTGCCTCCCCCCCCCCGTCCCTCCCAATTCACCGCTTTCTACCCAAGTCTCATTTTTAGAAACTAACGACTAGCTTTATCTCTTCCTCTTGTTGCCTGGCAACAGCATATCCCGATGGGCACTCCCATCTCCCACAATGCAGTGCTGTAAATCTTTGTAAATGTGTGTTGATTATTATGTAGAGAAAAGGAATGGGTTACGATATGCACCAACAAAAAAAAAAAAATCCTGTGTTAATGAAATCAGTGAATAATACGGAGCTCCTACAGTAATAATGACTTTTCCTCAAAATCAATCAGTTAACAGTCCAAATGTGCTTTCTATGCCACTGTCAACTCTCCACAGGATGTCAGCGACTTAATGACTGATTTATTCTCATCAAAAGAAGCTATTTATTGTTCTTTATATACTCGTCTGTAAAAGAAAGGGTTGTTTTTTTTTTCCTGGCTGTTCAGGTCATCCCAAACCAATAAAGAGGAACCTTTTGTAAAATCCAATGTTCTTCTGTATCATGTTGGGAATGGAAATGAATTTCTTACAGCTCCTTTTTCTGTTTATTTCTTCTATTGCAAATCTTCACAATAACTATTAATATTATTTCATACGTGTAAATAAACTGCCATCCTCCCAAAGCTGCATATGTTCAGCTTTTGTCAAGATTTTCGCACCACGGCGGCCAGAAGTAACCACCTTTACTGTATTACTAATCAAATGCATATGTGCACGCTTCTTGCAATTTATGACAACCACGCTTTTCATTCAGTGTTTTGCTCTCAAGGTATGTTGTTGTTTTCTCTCCTTTTTTATAATGCAATCAAAAATACAAGGTACAATATGATCTGGACAGTAATGACAACGGAGCAAGGCTGAAAAGTTTGTGTCCACACATATTAGTTACTCAATGGGCCTGTATATAGGGGAAGAGGCCCTAACTCTATCCCAATGTATTGGTGGGCATGAGCCTCAGTTTGAAGCGGCTTAACATTTCATGCTGGAAAAATCAAATGACTACAAAGAGACTTAGACACAAAAGAACTCCCAAAATCCACAGAGAGGCAGAACAACTACAACGAGACCCAACAACCACAAAGACACACAAACAACTACAAAGTCAGACCATAACAAAATGAGAGCAACTACAAAAAGACAGATCAGCTACAGACAACTACAAAGACACATAAACAACTACAAGGAGAGAACTACTAATGCACTAAACCTAACAACAACAAAAAAACACTACTACACTACGAACAACTACACAGACACTGCAAAGAAACACAAATGCAAAAGAATAACAAGAAAAACTACAAAAAGCCAATCGAGCTGTCAATGTGCTCCTCTGTACGAGAGACGAGATTCATTTTACAAATGTGCGTAAAGGCTTCATGTCTAATAATCCCCTCAGTGGATAGAGAAGTGAATCTGATACAACACAGGTTGACAACGATAACCACACGAAACAGTCTTTTTGAAAAGCAATTTAATTCAGTTTAACATTTCCCATGGCTTGTGAGAAACAAAAGTCTGACCACGGCTCAGAGTTTAAACTTAAACTACAGAGCGTATAAGAGATGGTGGCGGTTTAAAACTCCACAGATATTTTTATTTTTTAAAAATGCTAAAAAAAACAAAACTGATAAAAACTGAAAATACAGTAATATGTGACACTACAAAAGCTTGGTGATGCTTTTCAGAATATTTTCTTTATCCTTGCATTTGGCTGTGAGGGTTTGGTGCTCAGTGGCTCTGCTGCATTACAGTACCTGGTGGTGAATGGGCTCAATTGTTGCTCGTGTTTTCTTCTTCTTCTTCTTCTTTTTTTCTTAAACAAGTGCCGAGTGAAACAGACAGATGGCTATTATTGCTACTTTGGAATATAAAATGAGATGAGGCTTTAGAATGGTTGCATTTCTAAAAAATACTGGAGTTGAGAGGACACAAAATGAACTTTAGCAACATAATTACAAAAGCCAATATGCTTTCTGTGTAAACGCAATTTTCTTCTATAAATAATTTGTCTTTTACTGAACATATTATTCCATTTTGAAAGCTTATAAAAAAACAAAACAAATCCCTCTGGCATTTTTTTTTGTCGCCAAATAACCGTTGAAAATGAAAAATAAGTGGCTAGCCATGTATCAAAGCCTTGTACAAAAATTACAAAAAGCCACGATATATATAAATATAAATATATACAAAACAGTCAATCCATCAAGCAGGGTATGAATACAAGTTTGTGGCATCTGTTTCCAGGAACTGAAATACATTTCTAGGGATATTCTCTTACAAGTCAAATTCAAATATGTATCACACCTCAAGCACTGAGACAAAATATTAGAAATGCATGGGATGCACTCAGACTGGGACTGTGTGAGGAAGGAACAAAGATATGAGAGATGGAAGCAAAGTGCTACAGTAATTGTGTGTATTCTCTTCCTACAGATTTAGACGAAGAAAATGAAAGTAGGAAGAATTAAAAAAAAAAAAAAAAAACAACAGAAGAGTCTCGAATTAATCAAGGAGAAGAAAATACAGATTGTGATTCTTGTCGCCTCTCCTGGGCTGTTTGAAAAAAGTACAAAAGGAATAAAACACTGAGAAAAAGAGGCAAGACCAAAATAGGAGACAGTAAAATAGCGATGAATTGGCGTTCACAAGCAAAAAGAATGATGCAATAAAAATGTGCTGCTGGTGTGTCTTTGCAGGCCTCGGCTCCAGCGGGGCCCTTAGAAAGAAACGGCTGGGTTTTGCTCACAAGTGTAGTGGAAATGTGTGTGGGTAAATCTATCTATTCAACAACAAAGGCAACTCTTGTATTCCATCTTGTGGTCAGATTTAATAACTTTGGGTCATGGTCTTTGGCTTTCTGTCATCTCCATATAGTCTCTTTGCTTCAATTCCCCTTGCCCCCCTCTTGCCCTTTACCAGGGGCCCTTGATAGGTGGGCCCTTGGGGCTGTAGTCCACTTGATGGCTCATACAGTCTCCAGGATTACACCGGCCATCTTTTCCCTTTGAACCAGGATGTCCAGGAGGGCCTGGGATCCCAGGGACACCCTGCTGGCCAACAGGACCAGGGGGTCCCATCTTACCATAGCCTTGGGGTCCTGGAATACCTGGAAGAAGAAGGGAAATGATGCAATGTAATAATCCTGCCACTATCTCCAAAACTAGAATATCAGCGGGGCAAAGCAGGCAGAAGTCCCAGATTTACTTCATATCATTAGAGTCTAGGCACCCGGAATTTTGCACCACAGATGCCACTTCAGCCATTTTTGTTCATACTGAGTCCATTTTTTCGTTAGTTCAGGTTTTATGAAAGTATTCCAACTTTTTGTTCGCCGGGTAATTAACACACTTAAAACCTAGACAATGTCCTATTTCTAGATAGAAGTACTGTAGATCCACAAGCCACAAGTATTTTCATAACCAGAGTCTAACAATATAGATGTATGTATGTATATATATATTATAATCAGCTGATGGTTTAGTTTATTCAATATCAGAAAATAGTGATTGTTGGTGACATATTTTGAATCTGCTGTCACAGAAACATGGGGAAACTGGCAAATATTCTCATCCAAGAAACTTTAACCAGTGAGTTTTTCACATTTTTGCTTGTCAAAGTGGCTCATTCATCCAAACGGTTTTGTCCCGGCGGCCCCTCGGGAGGTTAATCAGACTAAAACCATCCCTTCCCTGGTTCTAGAGCCTAAAAAGAAAAATGCTCAAAAAGACTAAGTTAGATATAAGATAGAAAAAAAAGCTTGTCTTCTGGCCAGTTAGATGATATCCTCATAAAAGATGAAGCAACAGCCAGCAGTTGTTTGGTGTACCTGACAATGGAAATCTAGGGCTAGGTTTTTTGTACTTCAGTTTTCTATCGATTAAATAAATGAGGTAGAATGTGTTAGTTATTGAGTTGTGCTGGTATTTATTGTTCGTTTTGGGGTTTGTTTTTTACCTTTGAATAAAGCCAAGCAAGTGGCTTCCCTCCAGGCTTTATACTAAAGCAAAAATTATCAGCTGCTGGCTGTAGTTTCCTATTTAGCATACGAACATTAGGGCGGCATCAATCTTCTTGTTTAACTACCAGGGCAAGAAAAGGGAAAAAGAAAAAGCTAATTACCCAAAATGTGAAGTTCCTCCTTTTAAAGTTTATTTTACTCTGTAATGCAACTTCCATAAGTGGAGTGTTGTCATTTGGCACAGCAGCACAAAGACAGTGTAGATTCAAGATGAATGATTTTAATCATCAGCAATATGACCAAGTGATATCCACAAACTACATCAGAAAATGTGTACAAACACCAATAAACTTCATCTTTAATAGATGATGTGAT